ACAGACTCAAGCAGGGAAAAAATCAGATACTTCTTAGTTCACAGTTGCTTTGACAGCGTGAGAGCAGCTGGCCAAAGCCCTTCAGTAGCAGCGGTGCCGGACTGCACACCCCTCTGATTTGGAGAGTCGGTGCCCACGGACACGCACAGGCCTGAGTATAACTGCAGGGAGAGAGGGAGAATTTGTGAGAAAATTGAAATGGCTCCCTCCCGGCTCCCCGTTCCCACGTCCGCTGCAAAGACTTCTTTTGTATAGACACAGAACAGTCAAAATCTTGGGGGTTTAGCTTTTGTCCGAGACTCAAGAATCACATGCTGCAAACAGCATCAAATGCACTTTGCCTGAGTGTAGTTTGGATTTGCACCTTCGGTTCCCAAGAGAACTGGCATTCTAAAACCTGAGGCCTAAACCACCATGTTGTCACACTCTTACAGCTTTAAAAACAGCCATAAAAATAAGCGTGTTAGAATTACAAGATGTTTGGTAGGGAGTATAATGGCACTGCACTTCAGTCAGGTAAGGGTTGTTTTCAAACAAATGGAGTGCAATCTGTTCACACTTGCGCTTCTCAGCTTCTCTTTGCCTGTTCCTTTTGCAAGTTGCATGATCTTTTATGTTAAAACGTCCATGTGTTAAAAAATTCAGAATAATTCAGTAGTTTTTCTTTTAATGCAACAGCTGCAAAGCTTTTCAGATGTTCTGCAGTGAAAATAATTTTCTCCAGCTAGGGCTTCTTATTTCATTACATGAATCTCTTTTGGCTTCCCCTCAAGCAAAGATTATTGATGTAATAATTTAAGTTGCTTCAAATTAGACCTTGGAAATTAGGTATTCTAAACATTTCCATTAGAAATTCTTGATATTAGTTTAACAAGTATTTTGTTATACAGCTTTACAGCAGGCATACTTACTTCAAAAGATGATAACCAGCACAAATCCTGAAATAAATGTTTCTTTTCTTGTAGCATCAAGGGAAGAAATGGGAACAGAGAGAAACAAAGTTTGTGTGTGTAGGAAAAAGGGGCCATATTTCTCAGTTGCTATTCATTTCACTTTTTCTCAGACATTTTCATTACTGAGCTATCAGCTGATAGAGCTGAAATTAGTCCCTCCCAGTCCTGTTATTCCAAGATAAGTAAAATGTTCAGCCTTGCTTTCCTATTCTCTTAACTTCCACATGGCTCAAAAATTTTAGCTTTCTTTTTCGTATTGATGAGAAAAATAGATAAGCAGTTGAAAGGGAAAAAAAGAAACCAAAACCTAAAACATATGTAGCAGCTAAGAATTATTTTAAAAGAGTTGAAGTTTCACAACCTGAATACATTTAAGTATTTTAAATAATTCTAATATTATAAAATTCTCTGAGAAAAAACATGACTTGTTCTCAATGAAAAGAATTTAAGATAATGGCTCCGATTCTGCCTCCTGTGATAGCTCTTAAAACAGCAACCTGCAGACAAAGGTAAGTATTTAGGCCCACAGCAGCTCTGAGTCACTCAGAAAATATTCCTCTTATTTAGGAAGGCATTTATGAATCCATTCATCATTGTTATATACCAAGGCTTGTCTGCTACTGCAGAAATTCTTTTGTACGCTGCTGTACCGTCACGATTTATCTCAGTTAGTCTCATATTCACCAAGAGACATAGCTGTTTGCATCTAATCTTGAACTGTGGCAGGACTGAGTACCATCCCAAATCCCACCATGTCCTGCCCAGTTTAAGTTTCATTGCACAGTGGGCCACATCTCCCTTCAGGACAGGGTTTTAGTTACGATACAAAGTACAGTACACAGAGATGCTCAGAAGGTACCTAGTGACCAAAGGCACCTACAAGGAAAAAAGCATCACAGGAAGCTTACATTCGGTGGGAATGTGTTCAGGGCTTGACCTGCCAAAAGTCTCCAAACCTGCTTTGCAGTCCAGCACCTCTCAGGGAGTTGAAACTAACTCTACAGACCTTTCGGGAGTCTTGTAGTATTTGTCACCCTTGAAGCTTGGCTCTGGGTCTGTTTCTTCTGCAGATGGGAAGGTCACTTACTTCTCCCAGGTGCCTCTCACCTTGATGTGGGACAACGGGCTCCCTGTTTACCACTCACTCGTGCTCTCGCTCTCTGTTTGTTTGTTTTACCCTGAACTCCAAAACCTTATCCACATCAAGCGTGCCTGGTTGACCCCAGGGAAGGGCAGTGTCCTTTCAGAAGAGGATGAGATCCCATTCAGAGCGCAAAAGGTAAACAGACAACTCCTCTCCCTGCTGCCCTGTTGTACAGCCTCTTCAGTGTAACATAACATACATGGTACCACTACAGTAACCACGATCAGACACATGAAACAGTTCTGCTGCCTGTCCCAATACTCACACTTCAGGTGTTTCATCCATATCACTCTTCAGCATCTTTGACAGAAAGGTGCCGAATTATTACTTTCCCTCTCATAGGTGAGGGGGAGGAGGCTGCAAGGCAGAGGATTTGCAATGCAGTCCGGAACCGAATCCAACTCAGATACCATTCCTGAAACACGGAAGTCACCATTCATCTGTCCTAGGATATGCTGCTTCCATCAAGATGAACCCGTCATCAGCGATAACATGCCCCTGGCTCCTGTCCGCCATGAACACTTGCTGTCTAGCTGTGTGCATTTAGATATTCTCTTGCAGTGGCAGGCCTAACATATTCATTCATTTATGTATCAAATCTTATAGTTCAATAGTATGATATCACGGGTCTGAAAAAGCAAAAGAAAATGGACCGAGAAAGGAAGGCAGCAGAAGTAAAACAAGCAATAGCAGATACCGTTGAACATACCTTTTGTGGTTTTGCTATTACAATTCAAAACTCAGTTGAATGCCTGCATTTCACTCACTAACAATTCATACTTTCCTCATAGAAATTATGAGTTTCTATATACCAATGAAAGCAGTCACTCTCAGCATAGGCAACAGCCTACTGGATCGCAGACCCATTTGGTTTATTGTGGGGGAACTATGTACAAACCATGCTCTTAATGAGACACTGAACTACTGTTTTCCACCTGGTTGCCTGCATCCAGTGTTTCTCCTCACAAATCAAAAAACTTGGTGTAAGTATTAACTGAACAAAAGAAAAACCACAAATCTCAGCCTTCCTGTAGGTTGCAACGCTTGTCGCATCAAATTCCAGAAAAACACTTGGCTTTTTTGGATACCTGGAAGATTTAAAGTCCTCTTCGAAGCTACTGCCTGTTGGAAAAGCTCAAGAGTACTGCTTTCCATCAAGAGAGTGCCAGGAAGTCACTAACACAGCAGAAAAATCTTCTGTATCTCCAAAATCCCACTGCACCTATGCATTTCACACAAAAAACATTGACTTGGGAAGTACTCCTTCAAGGTACAGAAACAAGCAAGCATTACAACTTCCTGTCCACAGACAAAACAACAAAATATCAACTTAAAATAAAATTTTGTAAAGTCCCAAAGAGTTTTGCTTTGGCTATGTTTGACCGAGTTTGTACGCTGGAGTTTTCAGCGTCGCTTGCAGACCTCAAACCATTTGTTTCCACCAAATGCCCTGTGGCTTGCTCATGTTCAAACTGCATTTTGGTAGGAACAAACTTGGGCTCGTACACCATCTTCCACACATTTTCCCTTCTTCC